CAAACGGAGACGTAACAATATATATTTGCTAGCGCGCTTATCGAGTTATTTTGTACAAATAATATGATTTATTTTACGTAAATTGACGTTATTTGTAACGTAGGTTAACAACAATTTATGGAATTGCACAAGAGTTAAAGCATGTAGAAGCGTTAAAGTAGAAAATGAAGTAATTTATTACAGTTGCGTGAACTGGACACTGAAGTATTTTCAACAGATAATTTAAAATAACCTACAAACGAAAAATGACATTACAACAGTATTATTTAATTTAACAAGCTTTTTTGTGTTTTCTCCTATGTAATCCTTATAGAATATATTGCTTTATCTTTTCTTTAAGAATAAGCACATTTTTATGGTACGTTTTTTCACAGCAATGTAAAATAAAACTAGGTTTTCTGCATATATGATTACTTTTTGCTATGTGCTAGAGCTAAAACTAGCTGACTAGTATTTACGCTCTTACTAGCTATTTTGTATATGTTACTTAGTGATTCTCATCAGTCATTCTACTTCATCTTTTCACTTTTATTATAAAAATTAACCAAATCACTTTAGTAGCAAAGAGAAAATGCTTGAAATTTATAACAAAAGAAGAGTTTTGACTTGTATAAGCTATGGTAGTTTCAAGTCTGATTTCAGATTTACTAGTTTATTTTCAGGGATTCGCTCGGGATTTTTGTCTAACACAAGAATTTAAGAAGAAAAAATAGAGAGGAAATACTGGTACTTTGACGAGAGCGACCTCTGTGCCCGCAAGAACAAACTAATTTGCTCGCAGATAGGAGTCAATGTGTGTTTCTTTAGTGTAGTGTGATTTGAAAAGTAAAAGTGTGTCGAAGTTGGATTTGTTATTTGATTTAGAATAGAAGAAAAATGAAACATTATGTCGAATCAAAAAGACACAGTAGATATTTTGTCGCGATGCGGTCAACAAAAAAAATTTAAAAGATACCGCTTGAAGGCAGTGAGGTAATTCACAATTTCTTAATTATTAAAAATACTGAAACTTAAAATAGTAATTACTGAATTAGTATAACATGGAACGAACACGGAATGAAACAACATAATCATATTCATAATGATTAACATGTCTTAATTTAATTACCCATCTAAATCTATCAACATTTTGTGTATAATTTATAACTTGCATGCATAATCTTACTCTTCTCATAATGAAATACCATCTGCCATATAATTTTTCAGCTAACCAACTGATCCTCATTACAATTTACAGCCATCTAGACCTGAGATTTTTATATCATTGGTTAACCGTTAAACTTACCTAATGAAAGCTCTTTTTTCATTTCTGTTCTTTTTAGCTGTATATATTACTTCAATATGACTTCTAGTTCAGCAGAGGTTCATGTACTGTAGAGATCAGAAAAAAGTGATAAATACTTAGCTTGGTGATACGTTGCTAGAAGATAAAATGTTTATGAATTACCACCACCATATTTATAGTCTAAATTAATTATTTTTTAAAGCTTGTTAAAAGTTTGCATTATTGTTTTATACTTCATATAAATTATGATGTTGCAGTGTGTTAGTATAATAAATGTTTTTCATGGAACAAGTTGAGATAGGCTAGTTGAATAATTTTGCACTTGACCATATCAAGTCTCATTTTGCCAGCAATGCTGCTGTGTTAGGCTGTGTTTACATTAGGCCTTATCAATCTGAGTAACTGCTTGAATGGAAAAAAAAAATCATTGAAAAGAAATGTAATATAAATAAATCAATGTAAAACAGGTTTAAAACTTATTGCATATAGTTGGGTGATCAGTGAAATTTGCTAATAGATCAATTGCTACATTCAACTAATCAGTTATCCTCACATAATATGGTCAACACAATCTAACAGGAGGTCCTACAATCGGTATTGTCACACTTTCTGTCACACCATATTGTGACCATTCATATAAATAGTTCTTAAGCCAGGTGCATGTATTAATCACTTAAGCTGTTCATTCTTCTTTTTCTTGAATTACTTTCACACATTATTGTGGAGAATGTGGTGTATCCACCAGTAAATGAAATTGGGCATGCCTGTCAGATGTAAGCATTTTTCATCTAAATATATTTTTGGTTGTTTTCAAATAGTTATAAGATAGCCTTATATTAGTGTATAAAGTTTTGCAATATAATTTTATTCAAAATATCATTGTAATATTTGTGAATGCCAAGTTTCATATGTCTATGAAGCTGCTGTAAAGAACTGCACGAGATTATTTATCTATGCTGTATCCAAATGTAATGATACCAGATTGTCTCTTTGCAAGGTTTATAATGATTCACAAGGTGGAAACAAAGTATTACAAGAAATGTTAAGAATACAGTTATACCAAAAATCTTTAATTAGCAACATTTCTTAATTTTTTAATTCCACTGTCAATGTGAATTTTTTTTAAATAACTAGTTTTATAAGTATAAAAACATTATACACTTTTAATTGAGAATTTGTTGATGCAGGTTGATACAGTGTAAGATTAGAAAAAAATTTAGAATGATAAATACATTTAAATTTTACAGTACAGGCAAAAAAGAGACTGTACAACCATATGCATGCTGAGAAATTAGTCATACAACTTAATGAAAATGTTTCTGATAGCAACCAGACTTTGATTGTGTTGATGTTTCCTGTCTAGCTAGAGCTTGTCTTAATTAAACAGGAGTTATGTTTGTGTAAATATGTGAATGACTTAATGATGTTACGTATTGTTATACTTTTATTAGTCTGTTTCTAGTAATTTATGACAAATAACAAATACATTCTAATAAGTAAGTTATTCAGAAATGTTTTTTTTTGATCGAATAAAAAATAATGGATATTAACTTGGTTTGATTAATTTTATTAAAGCAAACCATAAGTATCACTGGCTGTGCATGTAGCTTTGTAATATAAGTACAGTCCTTTGCAATTGTGCTTGAGCACATTCTCTTGTGAAATTTTATGTTTGGTGCACAATTCCATGACTGGGGCATAATTTTGTGCAAGCAACTCGTAAAAAACATTTTAAAATGGCATTATACATTCATTTCAGAGTTTGATAATTTTTTCTATCACTTTTTTATAAAATAGTACTTTCCACGTACTCTTAGTATTAGAATTGAAATAAATATTTTTATTATCTATTAAGAAAGCACCTGAGTAACCTAGCAGTTTGCAGTAAAGGAAGTCTACAGTTGTACATAGTGGGAAGGCTAGGCTCCTGCGAGACTATAACTGAGGGGTTGCCTTTAACCCTTTAGAAACAGGTCACGTGTGAAAGGCCATGTCATCTCGCTTGTTGACTCGCATTCAAAATTTTATTTAACTACTATTTCATGAATTTATGTCAATAAGTTTGGTATCAAATATTAGACTATAATTCAAATTTTAGTATTATACATTTCTTGATTTCTTAATTTAAAAGTAAATATTAAAAAAACACAGATAAACATTGATTTTTGTGTGTCACATGGTATATTGAATGTAGCACTGGTTCAAATTAGATGTCTTTTAAGTCCAAATTCTAAGTCTATAGTTTCATACGAATTAGAAACTCAAATTACAGATATTGACAATCTAGAATGTAAAATAAGAAGGTTTTATCTTTTCTGTTTGCTGATATATTGCTCTCATAATAAATCAAATGCAGTGCACCCCTCCAACCTCTTTCCATTTTTGGATACGCTCCCTTATATACACTTACTTCTATATGTGACACGAATAACCAATCGGAAACTCAGAATGACCCCCAGTGGCTTTCTCAACCACTTTAACAGGCTTGGACACCATTTCTTTCTTTTGAATCAATATTTAGTCTTTAAGTCTGCTCGAAATTTCATATTTTTTTAGACTAAAGTACATCTTAGTTACTAAGCTTGATACATTATAGTGGAATTCTATGGTATTAATGTGGTAATTTATGATTTTTTAGTTATTAAAATGTATACATAAAACCTAAACAAATTATTTTGTGTCATATCCTCCATGTGCAAATTTTTTAAAGGCTTAGCAACCTATGTCAAGCAGCAACCAAGTACAAAGGTCATAACTAGAAAAGATAATTGTTTGCTTTACTTCTTTAGTTACTGTTCTATGTTTTAAGAAAAATAAGTTTAAGAACTTATTTCAGAATAGCAATAATCTATATACATATGTAATGTGTAATAACTAAAATGTGACTGTATTTTACAAAATACTAGTCTACTGAAACACAGTCAAGACAAGTTACTTTGTACAAACCAAAGGTCAGTTTTATGTTATTTGATACAGTAACTTGAGTGCACGTGAGCCGCGTCATTGTAACTTCTGTATTGTTAGTCAGGCACAGCTGAAAGGTCTATATAATGAAAATAATAAATGTATATAGATGTATAATGTTATGAGATTTAAGCTATATGGTCTAAATATTTATGTTTTTGTGTTGTAATTTGTGTTCATTCTAGAATGAAAGAGGCATAATTTATATCTATTTCCCTTACAGAGATTAATTACTGAAAATAACAGATAAAATATAAAGTTTTTTCTTGAAAAATAGTTTGATAACTATCTGGACATTATAAAGATTTCGTCTGTGAAAATTGAAAATTTTCTGATG